CCCCAAAACCCCAAAACCCCAAAACCCCTCTAACAAATATTAAAAATCAATCTTTGTTAAAAAAATAATGACTATCTTATAATTATCTCATAATTTATTCATATAAGCTAGCTATACTCTGATTTTAAATCATCGTTTTCTTATTGCATATTTTCTCTATAATAATTAATATGTTATTCTTCGTTTTAATCCTTTATAATATTTTGACCTAATCTCTCATCAACTTCATTTCCTTATAAGTCTATTTTTTCAAGAGCTTTTATGAATTAATAGCGAATTTTATCTTTCCCAAAGCTTGAGTAATCTATATTATATGATTTAAAGTGCCTTATCATATATCTTTGATATTTCTTTAGTTAGCACTAAACCAAAAATCTAGTATCTCTCATCAATTTAACATTCTCATATATATCCAAATCTTTGTAAAGTAGTTCTTATGCTCTTTGATACTTTAAGCTAAGCTAAGAAATCTTAGACTTTCTATTTTTGCAGCAACACATTATCCAAGTGAAATAAAATTGAAACCATTCACAAAAAGATATTCTATACTTTGTCTAAGACTCTATATGATTTTTCAAATTTTATTTCATAAAGGAAAACTGACTTATCTTGGACTAGATGAAAGATTTGGAATGATTTATCAATTTAATAAGTTTATTAGGTTAAGCTGACTTCTCGGGGCTAACAAAACTATTGATAAATTCTTGATCTTCACTTAATACACTATTATAGCTTACTTTCCCGATACCTATTTATGAATTGATCGATGTATTTCGAATTCTTTACTATTCATTACTCATTTCGTTTTCTCTATCAAATTAATCTTTCTCAATTTTTTATTTGCTTTCGTACAGTAATCTCTTCATTAATGATGCTTCAAATAAAAAGGTTTAGAACTTACTTAAGAAATAGACAAGAATCATATTTATTAGACTAAAGAACCCACCCACATTTGAAATAAGTCCTGAAATAGTCTAAGACTATACATTTATAATAGTTTATTCACAAACTTGCGAAAATCTAAGATTTAATACCCCAAGATTCTTAAATCTCTCTAGAGTAGAATTATAGATCTAAGAATCTATTTGTTTAATTTCATAAAATTGATACTTGGGCGAATTAGGATCTGTTCCAGATTACCAAAAAAAACTAATGAGCTTATCAAAAATAGAAACAGTGTTTAACTTAACACTATAGGAATTTAGTTGTTTGCTATCTTCAACTAAGTATTTTCTTTGTTAATTAAAGTATTTCTTGAAAGGTCTGTCTTCTGTAAAATCCTTAGAATTGAAATATTCAGTCATTATTGCTACGTCTGCATAAATATGCGGAATCATTTGTGAGAATAATTTTGGATTTTATTCGCATTCAATTGTTGGATTAATTGCTACGCTAGAGCACTTTTGCAGCACAAATAGCAATTATTTGCTTCTTACGCTAGATTCTTGCCCGTATATTTCGAATGAATCGAGCTATGGACAGTAATAATTATTGATATCAGATTTTTTTTCTAGCCATGGAAAAATTTCCTCATCGCATCTTCATACTGTTATTTCAATGCTATTTCCCTTACTGAAGCTATCAGTATCATCGTTCATATCATACATAAATTATGGTCTCACATATCTAGATATGTCACTATCATTGATAATTTTGTTAATTTTTCCTAAAGAACCAAGCCTTACTGCAATGTTGACCTTCTTAGCATTAATTACATAAACTTATGGATCATATTCGATATCAATGAAATTAGTTTAATTTTAGATAGAATACCCACCTTGTGACATTGCTATTATTTCGTTTATAATGTACCATATACAAAAGAATCCAAATATTAAGGTAGTTAGCCCACCCATTACTGTTCTATAGTTACTGTCATTCTTGTAAGTAATATAAATGGGTTAAGCGAAAAGATCAAAGTTTCTGATAAAGCGACTTAATTTTTACATAAT